ACCAGGGAGAGATGGAGCGAGCACCTGAAATAAACAGAGTAACACAGCTAGAGGAACTGCAGATAAAAATAACCACTGAAGAGCTCCATAATGTGAATAACCAGGACTCAGGATAGTAGAAGGTTAAGCCAAAAAACCAACCCCTGGTTGCCCGTAGGTCGTCCAAGGGGAAATTAGATCTCGAAAACAGCATTTGGAGCATCATCATTGTCCTGGTTATTAACCAACCTAGCCAATATACATCAACTGAAGATCCAGAATAGATGTTCCAAACATCATAAATTTTCCAAAAGGACATCAGAATTTTTCCATTTAGCGACCTTCCCATAGATTCTCCTTTTAATAATAGACAGCAAAGAAGTAGAGCTGAGAAATACATTACCAAATCTTCTATTGTTTCTCTCCCTCCAAAGATGGTATATGATGCAACAAACCATCAGCATAAAAAAATTCTTAGTCGTTTTAGATCCAGAGGAATCAGACTCCAGCCATTGAAGAAGTTGAATAATAGTAGGTCTAAAAAGAAAACTTCTAGTGCCAGGTAACAGAGAATTAAGCATAGAAAAAGAGTAGGAGCACTCAAAGAAAAGATGATTGACATTTTCAGAAGCTGAGTGACATAAAGAACAAATAGTCGGCACAAAAATATTTCTGGATATCAGAGCGTCTTGAGTTTTTAAACCACCAACAAGTGCAAGCCAAACATACACAGAATGTTTCAAAATATGTTTCTTGTGCCAAACAAGCTTACACCAAGGACAATCCGGCAAAAAGTAATAGAATTCCTCAATAAATTCTCTAAAATTAACCTTGTCGCAGCCTTTCCAAACCAGACAATTATCAGCATTTTGTAAAATCGGAAGGCTAGAGATAGCAACTCTCAAATCCTGTGGAACATCATCAGGGAAAAACCACACCCCAGAAGAAATGAAATTTTGAAGCCGAGGGAGGGAGAAGCAATCCAGAGAAACATCAGGCACATACTCAGAAAGAGTAAGATCAAAACACCAATGATCCCATAATACAGAAATGGGAGCATTAGGAGTTATGATAAACTTAAAATTATGCTTCACAATAGCAGCCGTGTTACAAACAGAAACCCAGAATTTGCTATCATTAGGTCTAGAAGCTCTCCAAGGTGATAAATAATGTGCCAAAAACCAGGTGGAGAGAGGAGAAGTACAATTATACATTCTATAAATCACAGAACAATTAAAGGCAAATTGAAGTGCACCAAGAGATGGGATACCTAGCCCACCTTTATCTTTAGGCTTGCAGACATTTTCCCAAGACACCATATATAATTTATGAGAGCAATCAATGTCCCCAAAAAGCAGAAAACGAGAACAAGTTTTCTTGAAAAACTTGTAGACAGTCTTTGGCAAAATTGAGCCCCTAATCCAGTAGGCAATATTATTTTGAATAGTGAACTTAAGATACTGCAAACGCCCAGCAGAAGACAAAAGATTTGCTTTCCAACCAGTAAATTTTTTGTGCAGGTTATCCATCAAAGGAAGAAAATCTTCAACTTTCTCGACCCAAAGTTGAATTGACAACTTCCGAAATTAATTTTAGGACCATCCAAACTCCCATTTCAACAAACTTATAGTCGAACTGAACATCTTGAAAAAATGAACCCATCGACACCAAATTCGATCCAAATCGAACTCAAATGGGTCCAAATCGAGAGTCTGAAGCATGTTTGGAAACTTCAAAGCATAAGTTGGATGACCAAATGATTTCCAAATGTAACATGTGTATAGTCGAATCGAGCGACTCAACGAGTTGAATCCAACGAGCCCAAGATCACTGAATTCTGATATCATTAAGAGACTCAAATGCGTGATAAATAGTCGATGATAAGTGTAATCAATGTTGGCCATCCATTAAAAACACTCCCAAAATGTCCTTGATTTTCTCCTTATTTACCAATCATGTTACTCACAAAAAATTATAAATAGACTTCACATTCTTTACAAAAAGAAGGGAAAAAGAAGAGGAAGAAGAAAGAGAAATATGATCTCTCTTTTGCCACCAAGCTTCTCCTCGACCACTATTCGTTGTCGGATTTCTGTCAGGCCACCAATTTCTTCGGACTTTTGCCATATAATCTATTTTTAAATCATGCATAAAAATCAATACACTATTAGTTTTGATAGTAAAATTTCATTAATGAACATGTTTTAAATAAAAAAGTACAAACCGTTTTGCTACGCATAAAAATAAAAGTCAAGACTAGTAGTTAGAGGGATAGAATAAGTTTCATCTAGGGGAGGCTACTAGAAATCATATATATCCACAATCTCACATAATTATGCCCCCACCAGTACATGAGAAAAGAGCCACCTATCTATGTTTTTTGAAAATAATTGAATTGGCTATTGATAGGTGTAGCGGTGTTGCACTTTAGCCTGGGTCATGAGGAAAAGTTATTACATTCAGATAAAAAATCAGAAATCCGGACAAATACCGAGCAATACCGAGTGCTTGGTACCGACCACCCAAGTGATGTGACGCTTTGTTGTTGGACTTTGGACGCGTTCGGTGTCCGGATACAATAATTACTCGGTCATGAGGCTCCTTCAATTATGATTTCTGTTTTACTTCTTTCTTGCACCAAAAATTAAATTTTAATAGGATTTTTATAAGAATAAGTCTAGTTTGGAGTATATGTTTTTTTTTTATAATTATTATTATCACATGTTCATTCTCTAATCTCTTATTTATAGGCTTCACTTGAGATTTAACACTAAAAATTAATTATATTTAAATAATATAAATAAAATTACATATTAATATTTAATAATACTTACTATAAAAAATGTCTAAGTCTTTCTAGATAACAAGATAATTACAATACTATAGCAAATGAATTATAGTTTGCTAAGGGATGCTGATCTTAAGGAAAAAAATTTCTGAGCAAAAAATTATTATGAAAATGAATTCCACTTATTATTCCTCAGCAAAAAAAAGACACATCACATGAATACTTTATATATTGTTGATATATTTTAAAAAAAAACTATTTGATCGGTCACGAATCTTGAGCCAAAGTTGAATTGACAACTTCCGAAATTAATTTTAGGACCATCCAAACTCCGATTTCAACAAACTTATAGTCGAACTGAACATCTTGAAAAAATGAACCCATCGACACCAAATTCGATCCAAATCAAGCCCAAATGGGTCCAATTCGAAAGTCCGAAGCACGTTTGGAAGCTTCAAAGCATATGTTCGATGACCAAATGATTTCCAAATGTAACATCCGTAATAATAAATATATATGCGATTATCACA